GTTTTTTGGACGAGCCGCCCCTTTAAGATGCATCAGGAATTTCTCAAAGGAATAGCTAAAAATTAGCTTACACATTTTGACTTTGGGTTTAGACGTGGTTTTGGGTGAGGATTCCTCTGATTCATCCTGCTCTGCATCATCCAAAGGATGTACTTCTGTCTTGATAGCTTCCATTTCTTCACTGAGGAACAGACTTTCTCAGGTGCATCCTAAATTAAACAGATATAAAAATGAAACAATATTATTAGCAGACATGTATGACACACATAATCTATATGCACACTATTTAATCTGTGCTATTTGTACTGTTAGGAATGAGACAGAGTAGGGTGTTCAAAATGAAAATTCCAAAGGAAAAAGTGCACTACAAATGCCCAATATAACGCTATTTTATCACATATGAAAAAAAAATACTTCACACAAGTCATCATATGACAAGAAGGTCGGTCCAAATTAGGGCTGCAGGATATTGGAGAAAACTGACATTGCGAAATTTTCATTCACTGCGATATAAATGCAATTTCACCAATGACTTGAAAAGCTTTTAAAGATTGGGGTGATTGTGTAGGGCTGCGCATCTGCATAAAATATCATTTTTTAAAAATGACAAGCATTGTTAAATTCAACAGACAAAACATGCAAACAAACAAAGATTTATGTTCTGGGGAGTCAAACAGTATTCAGAAACAAAAATTGAGTAATCACAGTATTATAACAATAATAACAACACTAAATCATTTTAATTAAGGAATAAAATTGCCCTTTAAGCTACAAATGTTTCATTGTTGTGATACAAACGTAATTTATTGTGCCCAAATGTTTAAGTTTGCTCGTAATTCTTATAGCAAGGCCTTAAAAAACACATACAAATACTAAAGTTTCATTTAAGGGTTAAAACTTGAAATTACTCTCCTCTATGTTGTTAACTGTAATTTCTGGTCAACTATATTTCTGACTACATTATAGATCCCACAATGCTGAAAAGATATATTGTGCAGCCCTGGTCCAAATTTGCAGTATATATACAAAGACAAAATAAAATACTGTATTACTGCATAATATTTTTTCTACAATATTTCTATTTTTGGTTATAAAAAGCTGTGAATAATGTTGGATTTTTTTTTTTTTCATAACAAGAACGATAGCATACAAAAAACGAGGAATACAATGCTTACAATTGTTTTTTGTCCACGTCAAAGGAACAAATCAATAGAGTATAAAAACAAAACACAAAAATTAAATTACAGGGGATATATAAATTACAAAAAAATTGCACAAGAAAATTATTCCAAAATTGCAAACATCCTTATAGCTTTTTTTTTTATAAATAATGTTTTTAGGGTTTTGATATAATGCCTAAGATCAGTTTTAAAGAAATAAATGTTAGGTTTATAATTGGACCATTTTTGTTTGTGTACATGGTACTTCCCATATATAATCATTAAATTACAAACACAAATTTTTCTCCAAAGTTTTATTGTTTTTATTGTACGTCAAAAAAATTGACAAAAAATAAATAAATTTTTAATTTTGTAAGTTTAAATATAAGATATTCAACAGCAAACCAAAACATTTGGGTATAGGTGCATTCAAAAAACAGGTGTTTTATTGATTCCTCTTCTAATTCACAAAAAGTGCACGCAGATTCAATGTCTTTAAAAAATGTTTTAACAACTTGTTTTACTAAAAAAAGTTCACTAGTTTATATGTCACATCTTTAACTTTTTTGGTGAGACAGTATTTACTAGGCAAGTTTCAAACTTTTTTCTACTCAATCTGCTCAAATAAAGAATTCCAAAAAGGTTTGCATTTAGGCAACCATGTGCTTCTGCATAACTTTTTAATGTAAAAATATATTACATTTATTGTCTTTAATTTTCACACCATTGATACTTAACAGATTAGTATGTAAAATGTTGGATTCAGTGGACATATTACCAGATAAGAGCTGAACAAGTCCACCAGAAATTGCATCAATACTATTGCAAATTCTTTAGCAGTTATGGGGATCTTGTGATAATTGAGAAATTCACAAGAATTAAAAAGTTGTCCTTCACTTTTAAATAACTGTATAACCAACATAATATCATAATTGTAGCAATTTCTATAAAATAGGGATTTGTTTTTAAAGGTTATACATTTTTGGTCCATATTACTGATTTATGTGGAGAAAATTATGCTTATTTATAAGCATCCATAGTAAACACACCTGTTTATGAAGAGAGGACAGTTTTAACGGCACCTTGTTAATATCAAAATTACACCTCAAAGAAAAAAAATAATAAATAACTTAAAAAAAAGTCTAAACCCCCATTGGTCAAAAACTAGTTAGGGGTGATGCTCTAAATTTTACCTTTAAAATTCAGGTAATTCTGAATCCATTTGTTTTAAATACACTTACAGCAGTGCTGACATCAAGAACATTGAGACCACATCTTCAACTGGATTGTACAACACTGTCTTTTTTAAATAATGTGGTCTGTTCCACCAAATATGAAATTGAACAAAAATGTATCCACCTCTTTTATGACTGATTGTGGAACATGCAGAATGCAGAGACGTATATACTAAACAATGTTGGACATTTTTGGACAACTGTCGCAGCTATAAATACGTACTGGAGGGGGCGGAGTTATCAAACTAATACTGTACGGCAAAATAACCTTATATAATTCATACACTAGACAGTGAAATACATAATGAACATAGTAAGTAAATTGTATATAATTTGAGCCACAATATATTCGCAATAGCTCTGTTTATTGCCTGTAATCAATTCATCAACAGTGCGCTCTTGGTGCAAAACGAATTTGGCGCGTTTGTATTTCCAGTTGAATAAGCTAGACGCAAACCCCTTGCATGCTAACAAGCTATGACATTACGACCAAATATGAGATAAACTGAGTGGAGACGGCAGAAATCGCAAAACATATAACCACGTTTAATTAAAACCAAACTTTTAAGTATACATAAGCTGGCGACTGAATTGTTTTAGGAGCGCGGGACTGGTGGTAACTTACAGCAGACTAGCTTATTTGTCCCGCCTACTCGCTCACAAAAATACAACCGAATTTCCATTCGCAACAAACCGTGACAACTCCTGCCTCCTTGTACGTGAAAACGCGACTGATGTAAAATACTGCAGATTGTAAAAACAGCACTAAAAGCCGCATGCTCATACTTTAATGGATATACTCACTGTACGTTACTGTTGCGCCGATTGGAAGTGATGGAGGTGCGCAGTAAACATGGCGTTTGAAAATAGAGGGCGGGCCGTCACGTGACCACGCTGACAAAAAGCATAATAAAAGAACTCGTCCTTCAAAAAATAATAGTGTCAATTTTTTCACTTCGATGTCCCTAAAAAATGTAAGACTTATATTAATATTGATTATCCCAGTCGGTCAACATTCAGATTTGCTGTATGTATGGCGCATTAAATTTATTTGCAATAACATCACCACCGAAGGATCGTTTAAAAACTGAGTGTAAATTATGACTGTATAGTTTTCATTTCTTTTTGAAAATTCGTGGTATTAAAAGTACATTCTTAATTTAACAGTTTTAGTTTTAATTTATTTCCAATTTTATTTTAAATTATGTATACTTCCCTTACTGTTGTTTATATAGCCCATTTTAACCAGCTGTTATAGGCTATTCCATTTACATTTACCAGCCAGAAAGTGCTAAAATTTATTTTATAAGTATTATTCATTAGTATTTTTGTGTTACGTGTATAAATGCTTCCTGTAAAATGCTTTGGGTGGTTTGCACTTTTAAATATAAAAATGGGTATTTTAGAGAATTTTAGTAATTCTCTACATTTCTACATTTTCCTTGTTTCTAATATTATTTTAACCATATAATTTTCTTTATAATTAATTTTTATTTTCAGAAAACTAATGTAAAATGAACATTTCCAGTTCCTCAGTTGGTAGCAGCAATATCTTTACTAACAGCAGAGGGCAACATAGTAAAGGCCTTCACTCAATGAGCATTTTATGCTGTAACAGCACAATCTTACTATTGTATTCGATTTCAAAATCCTGTAATCCTTTAAATGTATTTGCACACACCACACGCACAGCAAACTGACAAATAAGTAAACTGAACAGTGAAAACATTTCTGATGAAACTTTGTTTAAATAAATTAAACTAGCCTATATGTTTTTCAATAGTTTTTGTGATAATTTGAATGTTTAATGTATTAAGTGTTGGTTGTGCTAATATATATATATATATATATATATATATATATATATATATATATATATATATATATATATATATATATATATATATATATTAATATATACTTACATAACAAATATAAAATGTGAATGTGTTTTTACATGTTGTGAATTAGATTTTTCTCAGCGTTCTTTTACTATCGGCGTTATTATTGTGGCTGATGTTAATGGTCCAATAATAGCACTGTTGGATTTTGTACACTGTGGTTGCAGTTTTATACTGTAAAATTTGTTGTATTGTAATATGTTTACATTTTACAAAACTACCATGGAAACTAAAGCTTTCTTTAGTTTTTCTTTCTGACCACACATCTCCCACCACATTTATGATCAATGTCATCTGCTGATTCAGTATTTACTCATTCATTCATCAAGTTACACAATATACAGTGCAATACTTAATCTGATATTTTCCAAATAAAATAAATGCAAATTGTATCCCCTGCAATGCTGTTATTATATATATATATTATTTATTTAAATCAGCTTATTGCTCAGTCATGTGTCACACACATCTACATTTCAAGGTTGGTAAAAGCAGAGCTGATACACCTTTAATTCCAAGCAGATTCCACCACATTCTCCTCCCTGTTTATCATGTTTTAGGCTTTAAAAATTGAGTTTGAAGAATCAACTCGCTGCTGCATGTCCACGAAACTACCCAACCATGGACTTTGTTTTGAAATGTGTGGGAAAAGTTATTTGAATCAAGCGTAGGTTTAAGGCCAAAGTTGACCCACCCACGAGGAACAAAGCATGCTTTGCCTTTTCTGCGTGTAGCGCGCATGCAGGTGCAGATCTCGTGAGCGCGAAGGCTTTGATTTTCCCAGACGATTACAAAGCACCTAATTTTTTACTGGTTGTATTAAGTGTCTGGAGTTTGTTGCCTAGCAGCCTTAAAATGTCTCCTGATTGGTTGATAGCTCGCACTCACTCCAGCGCGTTAAAATGCTCGTGAAAGGTGCACGAGCGCGCGCGCTCTTCTTCACAACTGTTCCGAACTCTCCTGAACCTGAGAAACCTTGAGCTGCATCGCCTCTTCGGTGCGAACATTTCGGAGCCGAACAGAACTAATACTGTACATGATGTTGTTCAGTTTATCGACAGAGGATCCGCATTTTTTGAAGTAGGAAGTGAGTGAAGAGACAGATGGATCCAGCTCACCTCATACAAGCGCGCGCGAGCTTCCAGTGTAGGTTTATAAGCTGAAGGTGGGTGTCCACACTTACTGTTCTTCCAGTATCTTCTTTGTTTTGTATTTTTAGAGGCTTGGATGTCATTTAGAAATGTTGTGATACTTTATGACTTTATAAGTCATAAAATAGCTAACGTCAAGTCTTTTTTAAGTAGCTATACTGGGAAATATTAGTGGACCACTTGGAAATTCTCAGTTTCAATGTATTGTTTTGCAAACTGATGACATTTATTCTAAGCTATTAATGAAAATGTGGTCATTTAGATTATAAAATGACGAATGGTCGATATAACAACAAATATAATTCGTCAGACATGTTTAATATTCAGTTTAAGACAGTACAATACCATGTTTTATCTAAGAATATTCAAGAAAACTATATTTGGGGGATTTTCAATCACAACAAATAAAAACGTTTGTTATTATGACTACTTGTCATTTTGTGGATTAGAAATTCTCTAAATTATTTTATTTTAAATTAGGAAGAAATGGTGTCAGACCTGTATAGAATAAGACAAATGTTAAAATTTCATTAAAACACATACCTAGTAAATTCAGTACATCCAGAGAGAATTGGGAATTTTCAAGTGGTTTCACAAGCAGTGCATAAATTTACACAGTAATGATCAGATTAAGACATGAAATGTATGTGAATTTGATTAAATATACATTTGTTGTTGTTGCTATTAGACCCACTCAAACCTCTATTCTTGCATTTACTCCTGAATATGTCCAACATCAATCTAGTTTCAGTATAATTGCAGTATAGCGAAATTTCTGACATAATTTTCTAAGTTCTTAGATGACGTATTTATACATAAGCAGTTCCAGCGTTATGCATGTGACATTTAGAGTAAAAAACTCAAAACATAAATTCACATAGAAAGTAAACATTAACATTAAATTGAAACATCAGTTTATATTTTCCAGAACAACTAACCAAATAGTTATGTCATCAGAAAAATATCAATCTGTAAACATGTTTTGTACTTTAAATAAGGAAAATAAACATGCGTTATGGATGTGACCAAAAACGTCGAGTTTGCAGTATACAGCATGCTTAGTAGAAATTCTTTGAATTAAACTGCCCGACCCCTAAAAAATAATGCTAATCAACAGGATAAGAGTCGGCTCACTATGGAACAAACATGATTGATTTAAATTTTATTTAATATTTTTGCATTTATGAGGAAAAAAAGATTCGTTATGGTTGTGTATGGATGTGATGATGTAACATTGCCACTCGTGGGACTTTGGTAAATCAAATAAAATTGTTTAAAAATATTGACAGAGACATGTTTGGGTATTTCTAAAGCACTGTAAAATACTTGATACACAAAAAACCTCTAAATGGTTTCCGTATTTTAGTGAAAACTTAATTTTTTTCATGGGAAGGTTGATATTTGCATGGAATTGCTCACATACATATGTAAAATCCAATGTTTTATTTTCCATTACAAGCATTTAACTTAATATTTTGTTGTCAAGGATGTAAACACCTAAATCAACGGGTAACCATTTAAGTGTTTGTTTGTTAATCAACAACATTAATTCAATAGAAAAATATCTCAAAACATTTATTAATCTTAATTATAACATAAACAAATACTTTGAGCTAAACTGAACAATATGTTAAACACCAAACAATATTAAATAACTAACACAGAGATTAATAAATGAGTTGCTCAGTATGTCAACTAATGGACTTTACTGTAAAGTGTTAGTTGTAAAATGTGCATACTACATAATTAAAAATGTCAGTCTAAAATCAGCTTGTACAAATCAAAATATATATTTTTCAGATGAGCCAAATTCAGTTATACCTTAAAGAAATATGTAGAAAAATATAATAGAATATTTAGAAAAAGCATTGATTGCGTTCAATATAATGTAGAACATACTAAATAAAAATAGGTCCGAACATAAAAATAAAAATAAACGCACCGTTCCTTTTTTCGATAGGTATTGTTCCGTCTCCACATTCTGTAGTGTCATCCCACGGGATCTTGTTAAAAATGCAGGCCTTGAAATGACCATCTTGACAATGTTATAGAAGAGCTTACAAAGAGAATTAATGATTACAAGAATAGTACCATTAGTTCAATTAATTAGACAGGCCAGCTAAAATATTTAAATCTCAATGCAGCTTTGAAGAAGTAGGACACTGCCAAAGGCTTCTTCTCCCTCCCACTGTGTCTGATGTCTGCCAGCGATGGCGTAAAAGAGAGAAAGAAAAAAAACATTTTCATTAAGGGAATTTGCTCATTCAATACACAGAGCTTTCCATAAGTTGGTTTTACTACGACTGCCAAAACTGTTTTATATCTACAAAAGTGCATAGTAAAACAGATGAGACATTGTTATGTGTTATATAAAACACACTATAAAGCTTTAAACTATAAGCTTAACCTTTAAAGTGTGGGGAGTCAATGTATTTTTAAACTGAGTGTAAAGGCCAGTTTTAACCCTGGGTTATGAAACTTCACTTTTAAGCTGTCATTGTAAAAAAAAAACAAAAAAAAAAAAAAACAATGCACTGCCTGAATGCAACGGCACGGTTTTAGCAGCAGCCATGAAATCTCAGTGTTTTCTTCATTGAATATTTATGTGCTTGGTACAACTGCAGAAACTTTCAACGCTAAAAGTTCAGCATAGAAAACAGTACAATATGTTGAACATAGATGGCAAAAGCATTAAGTGATGTAGTGTGTGGAGACATTATTATATTTTTCTTTGGTCTACAAGTAATAAAGCCCCCCCAAAAATTAAATTGGGCTGGTATAACTTTCTGACGGTATGATAACCTTGGATAAAAATACCACAGTATCATGGTATTGTGATAACTGCTCTAAAATATCTGGGTAAAAAAACAACAACTTTTCGCCTCATTGAACACAATATATATTTTTTTATTTTAGGAAACCTAATATTTTGGCACAGTAAATATGTCAGGCTAAATTATTCTAATAAATCATTGACTTCTGCTGTTTTCATTAGTTTTAAAAACACAGATTTCTTTACAGCACATGAAAAACACATTAAAACCCCTGAAATATACCTTAGGAGAGGCTTAACTGAAAATTGACTTTTTTTCAAACCGCGGAAAACCTTAAAACCGGTTATCGTCCCATGGTTATAATTTACTTGCACTTGTTCACCTTTAAAACTTTTACTTTCTGTCTTCTACAGAATTACAAAAAAAGATGTGTATTGTTTTTGGGTCTAAGATGACACTGAACTCATTGACTGAGAAAGTCTAAATATATTAAGTTTTAATATGTTAATATTTCAGTGTTTTATGTTTTAAAATGTGGATACTAATATACAGTGTTCCCCATGAGTACACCTCCTTTTGAAAATGAATAATTTTATCTATTTCTCTGTAAATATAGCCAATATTTTTTGGTTTATTTAATACAGAGTTCAGACATGATTTGCAAAGTATTGCGTCACAGATGTTTGCACACTGCCTTTAGCATTTTGTCGCTGCAGTGTTTACACTCCATGACGAATCGGCTACAGGGGGTTTCACACTGCATGAATTTACAATAGGAAGAACAAACTTTGTCTTGGTCCACAAACTACAACTCACAACCAAACACATGTGAGAAGTGACATGGAAACAACGTGAGGTCACATAGTATATCTTTTGTTATTAACATAATCCGCTTGTTAAGTGTGACGTCACGCGGAGCGGCTTCCGGGTCCAAGCGCTCTATTAAACTGAATGGGGAGATTCATGAAATGGTAATAATAAAAGTTTACAAAGCGATTTAATACTTTCGAAAGTCACGATCGCAATATATATGTCCATGCCTAATATCCGATGGCCAGAAAGTGATTCATTGTTTTATAAATTGTAAAAATTCTGGTATTTGTTATGCAGCAAGCCCAGAGATTGTTGTGTACACTATGACTTTATGTAAAATTAACTTTTATGTGTGATAGGAATAAAACGCGATGATAAACGAATGATTTCTCCACTCAAATGAATGGCGGCTTGGACCCGAAAACAGTATACATACGTCACAAACACGTCACCACTTAACAAGCGGATAAGAAAGAAGCGTTTAGTGGGGTAGAAAATATACTTATTTTGCTCTCCTGGGTGTTGAAGGGAATTAGCAATTTCTCTCCAACTTTTGGTATTGCTCAGATGACGTCAAACAGACACGGGTGCTCCTACCAAATTTCTACAAGTTTTTCCTCCATTTCTTGGGTCTAAATAGACAGAAAAGAAGCCCTTCTAACTTCTCCTCAACCTCCAGCTGGTCTGCAGATAGCCATAATAGTGGATGCTGCTCTCTCATTGGCTGTAGGTAATCGCCAATGTTATTTTCAATCAGAACACATTTCACAAGGCATGATTTTGAATCACCGACAGCGATATATGTTTAGCATGCCAAATATCTCACAAGCCTCAGCGACTCATCAGCGATTTTCTCAGATCTTGTCTTTGATAGTTCACACTGTGTGATTGTTATTTACATGTGAACGATCACCGATTTGCTTGAGATTTTAGGCACTTTTTAGCGATTTTTCAAAACATTTTGAAAATGCATTTCAGGCTTTTGTCAGCGAAAAAATCTGGGCTAAAATCATGCAGTCTGAACTCGGCATAAACAAACATTCATTCATTCATTTTCTTTTCGGCCTAGTGCCTTTATTAATCTGGAGTCGCCACAGAGGAATGAACCGACAACTTATCTAACGCATGTTTTACGCAGCAGATGCCCTTCCAGCTGTAACCCATCACTCACACAAACACTCACACACTCTCATTCACACACATACACTACAGTCATTTTTTTTAGCTTACCCAATTTACCTAGCACATATTTTTGGATTTGTGGGGGAAACCGGAGCATGCAGAGGAAACCCACGCGAACGAGGGGAGAACATGCAAACTCCACACGGAAATGCCAACTGATCCAGCCGAGGATTGAACAAGCGACCTTCTTGCTGTGAGGCGACAGCACTACCTACTGCGCCCTCACGTCGCCCCATAAACAGACATTTTTGTTCGTTTGTTATCTCCATTAAAATTTGAGCAATCTAAATCTTTAGGCATTTTTAGGAATAGAAGGTAATATATTAAAATACAAAAAGAAAAAGATAAATTACAAAAATGATAATTGAACAATTAAATGTTTCAAATTTTATGTTTCGCTAGATTTTTCCTATTTATTAAAATATTTAATATATTTTCCCAACATTCATTTGGGTGTACAATTTTGTTAGATTAGTTCCTGTTTTGGTTTTGGTACAGACTAATCTAATGAACATCCACAGATTTATTAGCATCCTGTAGACAATATTAATTTAAAAGAGAGATCTGTGAAGGTGTGCTCATTTATGCTGAGCACTGTATATAATGTGTGTTCCACAGAACAAATAAAATCATACATGGTTTCTAAAGACATGAAGTTATATAAATTGCTTGTGGTCAAATCTAAAGAATCATTTAATGACAGGCTTCAAGAATGGCAGTCTGACCTGGAGGCTTTAATAATAACTAAGTGGCAAGTAGCATGCTTGAAAGCCTAAACTCAGACAATGAACACCCATTTGCCTCAGTACAAATGTTTGAGTATACAATATATCACTCTAGTTACATCACTTCAACCTGGAATTTCCCAAAGAGCAGTGCACATTTCAGAAGACAACTTTCTTTTATTGTATGTGAGAATGCACTTAAGGGTTGAATATTATAATTTGGAATACCTTAAGTTCAAGTAAAGGTAAAGTAATTCCTCTTGACCCCAGGTAGTGCATATTTGTCTTTTGAATTTTAAATTAAACACCAAAGATTGTTGTTATATCCCTGTTTGCCTAAAGCTAAATGTGTAATAGCAGGTTTTTGGAAAACGTAAGAAAGTCATATAGTTTTAACAATGGATAAATAAGACCATTATGCCTTATGGACGTTTGGAGTCTAGATGGTGACTCCTTAATTGGTGGATATAGAAAGCATTGAAAGTTATTGTCAAAGTTGCTGTGAAAATGAAAATATCTCAAAATTCAGTCAACATATGTGTTGGTTTTTAGGAATGCACAAGTAATGGCAAATGATCTAAATCATGTTTAATTTCTAATATATAAAAGACTGGCATTAGGGAAGTGAGTTATAGATATATACTGTAGTTATATATAGAGTTTCTTTATGTAAAAGTAGCCATTACAAGATGTCATTTATACCGGTACCCATTAAATATCCATTTTAAAAAGCAAACTACCTTAATGGTGTTTTTAAATGTCACTGTTGTTGGTAAATGTTACGTGTTGTCTTTTTATTATATGTGAGTCCAAGACAAATTTCATGAAAATGACAATAAAGTATAATTCAACATACAGAGAAGTGTTTTAGTTTGTATATTCTTTATAGCTTTGCTAATAGTATTGAGTTACGGTATATTTTCATTAATGTATGAATCTATTTTTTTTATTATTATTAATATTGTTATTATTATTATTATTATCACCTGGGTGACAATTTTGACAAGAAATAATAAGAGTAATTGCCTCTTAAACTCTTGAACAGCTTGCCGATTGAACTAAAAGGGCAAACAGATTTAAACATAATTAAAATAATTGGTACAAACTAAATCAAATATGAGAACACTGATTGTCATGCAGTTTCCTTTTCATTTTTATTATATATATTTTTGTATTGGTATGTTGCATCTTTTTATATGTACATTATGAAGATATTTGTACTCTTTTAGTGTATGAAAAACCTAATCAGTGACTAAGGCTGCAAATTGGTAGGGCCAGACAGAATCTGCGGACATTTTTTTCTATTTAGTAAAAAATCTGTGGATTTATGTGGAATGATTTAAGAATTATCATAACTAAAAACTTAATATGTGAAATAAAAAATAATACATTTTTAACTTTTATTTGTTGTTTAAAATGCAAATCCAATTAGATCCACTTAATTGGTAAACAAAAGAAGTCTCTTGTATAATATATCTCCTAAAGACAGAAATTACTACTTTACAAACTGTATTGTACAGAAATAACGTGAACATTTTAATGTTACCATTATTATATCGTAATAATTTTAGTGAAATTAATTTGAATATAATAATTTAATAAATATAAATAAACACACACATACACAAGTAAATACATAGACTCAATAATGGGTTTAAATTCTGTGAAAATACGCCACATCTGTGGAAATTTCTGCGAGCAGATTCTGTGTGAGCTTAGCCACTGGCTGAGCATATATGTGAGCATGTATTGGCTGCTTTCAACTGTAGCAATGTTATACTGCATTCATTCATTCATTTTCTTTTTGGCTTATTCCAGGGGTCACCAATCTCGGTCCTGGAGGGCCGGTGTCCCTGCAGGGTTTAGCTCCAACTTGCCTCAACACACCTGCCTGAGTGTTTCAAGTATACCTAGTTAACCTTGATTAGCCTGTTCAGGTGTGTTTGATTAGGGTTGGAGCGAAAATCTGCAGGACACCGGCCCTACAGGAACAAGTTTGGTGACCACTGGCTTAGTCCCTTAATCAGGGGTTGCCACGACGGAATGAACCACCAACTTATTCAGCATATGTTTTATGCCCTGAAGCGATTGTGCTACCCACTGCACCAGCGTGCTGCCTTGTTATTCTGCATTGTTCCTGTTAAATAAACAGAAATGGAGACATTGTGGCTCAGTGGGTAGCATTGTCGCCTCACAGCAAGAAGGTCGCTGGTTTGTGTCCTGGCTAGGCCAGTTGGCATTTCTGTGTGGAGTTTGCATGTTCTCCCCGTGTTTGTGTGGGTTTCCTACAGGTGCTCCGGTTTCCCCCACAGTCCAAATACACATGGTATAGGTGAATTGGATTAACTAAATTTACTGTAGTGTATGAGTGTTTGTGTGTGAATGTTAGAGTGTATGGGGGTTTCCCAGTACTAGGTTGCTTCTGGAAGGGCATCCGCTGCTTAAAACATATGACAAAATAGTTGGCGGTTCATACCACTGTGGCAACCTCTGATGAATCAGAGACAAAGCTGAATGAATATAAATGAATGAATGAATAAACAGAAATGAAATTAATTAAAACCTTATGAAATCTGTATTTTTCTGGATTACATTCATCACAAAAAATATTGTCTTCATTTTAAATGATAAATTAATTAGAAAAATTTGTCCAAACTTTTATATTTACAGTTTTACAACAAACATTTTTAGTATCTTGAGTATAAAAGGAGATGCATTTTATATTTCAAAAACATTTAATTTTTTTCCTGTGTAAAGTAAAATAATAAAACTATATGCCATGCGCCATAATAACTGAGAATTTTATTCAGCGAGAGTTAAAAATAAACCCAAAATATAAAAAATCAGAAATATATGTAATTTTCATTATTAATTTAGGTCAGCAGCCAAATCCTCATTATTATTGATACTGCTCTTTCCACGGTGTGAAACTAATGCACTTCAAATGTGCTCTTCTGGATCTCTCAGGGCTCACGTAACTCAGAGCATCATGATCACGGATTCATCAAGTCCGGCGGAGTTTTATGAGGACAACGCTTCGCTGTTGTCCTTGGACTCGAGTGTTTTCTTCAGCGAGCCTGCGCTTCCGACTGACGATCCACTGGAGTTCTTCATTATAAATGTGGGAGGAAGCCGCTACATCCTCTCTCAGGAACTGTTGGCCTCTCATCCAGAAACTCGTCTAGGAAAACTGGCCCTTTCCAGTCGAGACTCTGCTTTGGATCTGTGCGACGATGCCGATTTCCTGGAAAACGAGTACTTTTTTGACCGCAACTCACAGACCTTTCAGTACATTATGAACTTTTACAAAACAGGCCACTTGCATGTGAGAGAGGAGTTGTGTGTGATCTCGTTCCTTCAGGAAATCGAGTACTGGGGCATCGATGAGCTTCGTATTGACAGCTGTTGTCGGGACAAGTACTACCGCAGGAAGGAAATGAAGGAGTCTTTGGATATTCGCAAAGATGCTGACGTCATGGACAAGGAGGAGGAGGACTTTACTGGTGTTTTGTGCCAGGATTTACGCCAGCGTCTATGGGACATCATGGAGAACCCGGATTCCTCCAAGGCGGCCAAGACGTTTGGGACGCTCTCCATGTTTTTCGTGGTGGTGTCCATCGTGAACATGGCTTTGATCTCGCTGGACTTCTCTGTAATTGGTGCACCCATCATCTTGGACATTCTTGAGTACATTTGCATCATTTGGTTCACCGGAGAGCTGGTGCTCAGGTTCTTGTGTGTTAGAGATAAATGTAAGTTCAGCAGGAGCGTGGTGAATATCATTGACCTGCTGGCCATTCTGCCCTTCTATGTGACTCTGGCAGTGGAGAGCCTGCATGGAGAATCGACAGAGCTGGAAAACGTAGGACGGGTCGTTCAGGTGCTGCGGCTGATGAGGTCGCTGAGGATGCTGAAACTCGGACGACACTCCACAGGTGATAGACACACCGAGACTCATCATACGAAGTCTCTTACACTCAGAATATTATTTTCGCTTCTTGTTCAAACTACTTAATTAAAATAAGCTGAATCAACACAATCACTGGGAAAGATCCATACACACTCATTCACACACATGCACCATGACCAATTTAGCTTACCCAATTCTCCTATACCACATGTCTTTGGACTTGTGGGGGAAACCGGAGCAGCCGGAGCAATCCCACATGAACACTAGGAGAACATGCAAACTTCACACAGAAATGAAAACTGACCCAGCCAAGGCTTAAACCAGCGACCTTCTTGCTGTGAGGTGATTGTGCTACCCACACATTGACTCCAATAAATGTACAAAATAATTTAAAATGTTAAAGGATTTTATTATTATGACCATTAAACGGTCCATTTTGCCTACATTGAGAATTTTTTTTTCTGACAGACAAATTATAAATGAAATCAAATTATGTAACTGCATTCAAAGGATCCTACTGTCAACAGAAAATAACAACTATGTCACATGACCAGAAATCAGTTTATTAGGTTTTAAAGAAGCATTACTTAATAATCAGTGTTTAAAAGTAAACTGCATCTGCAATGATAATGTCACAGAAGAAATAAATGGTCTATATCACGTTTATAATTATTATTCTTTAGCTGGGAAAACAAACACGGACAGAAAATGAGAATCTGACACATTCAATTCAATTTAATTCAGCTTTATTTGTATAGCGCTTTTACAATGTAGATTGTGTCAAAGCGGCTTCACATAAATGGTCATAGTAACTGAATCAGGGTAGTTCAGTTTTTAGTGTTTAAGTTCAGTTCAGTTTAGCCCAGTTCAGTGTGGTTTAAAGTCATTACTGAGAGTCCAAACAATGAAGAGCAAATTCATCGATGCGTAGCTCTACTTACCCTGAACCGTGCAAGCCAGAGGCGACAGCGGAGAGGGGAAAAAACTTCACCAATAGCAGAGTGAAGAAAAAAAACCTTGAGAGAAACCAGACATATTGTGAAGATTGAAATTAGCAGTACTAAATAACAGCTTGGGATTATAATGAACCGAAAGTTATCATTAATTAGTTTTGATGCTAAAATATGCACATGTGATTGTTATTTTAATAGTTATGGTCCTTGTTTTTATATAGAAGGACACCATTGTGCGCAGTGAAGCTTTTACCCAAAAACTTTCAAAAACTCACTGTAAGCCATGCTTGTTTCTTTATATCAACAGTATAACAATATCAAAAAGTTTGAAAATTTATTAAAGCATTTACTTTGACAATAACGGTGGCATATAAAACATAAAAAGGAGTAAAACAGACTGAATATATTGGGATTTAAGTGTAACATTTCTACAGCATACTGTTCAGCAGTCCACCAGACGCATTTGGGCATTTTTCACTCCACACTGATGGGCTCTTAACCCTGCGAATGAAATAATTCATGAAGATCTCAGTCTATTTTTGGGGAAAGTGAGTCAATTTATTCATCCATTCATATTTTGATAGACTCCCAGAGAGACTTAGAGGAAGATCCGAAGACACACAAATAGTTACTGAGCACAGACTTGTGGCTTTGATCTAGCTTTTTGGTGGAAGGAAAAAATCTCTTTGTAAGATGCAGCCACAGAATCATGAATAATTAAAAAACATGATATGCGAGAGCTAAAAGAGAGGGGTACAGTTGAGGAATTTGGTAGGACAGGGGCTTATCATGCCAACTTCCATGTGGAAGTGTAATATAAGAAAAAACTTTTATAATCTTATGGAATGAGATTAATTCTAAACCTTTTTTTAAAAGCCACATTATAATTGTTTTCTTTTTTGCTTAATTTACAGTAAAAAATGCTGCTTTCCACACAATTCGTTCATGTTGTCCCAACACAAATTGATTAAGTTAATGTAAATGTTTTTACAAATTGAAGTGGATTGAACATACAGCCCTAGCAGGCACAGGATGTCAACATGAAGTCAGATTGCTGTTGTACCATTTGTTTGGAAATGAAAATCGGGTTAACGTCCGAACCCAACATCAGGCCGTCCTCAATGTCCAAAGAGCCAACCTAAAATAAACCAAATATCATTAGTCCCTTTCACACAGGTACACCGGTAAATATCCAGAAAATTTCCGGAACGACTTTACCGGTAAATTCAAAACAGTGCTGTTCACACAAGCAAGGACGTTACGGTATTTTTTCCGAAAAAGACCGTTCACACATCCATTCAAAAATACAGATAAATTCTGACATCATTAACCAGAAATGAGCTCTAATCGGCTGCGCTTGTATTTGTAAACATTTTACTACATTGCAAACTCTGTGGATGGATAAGTATTGTGAAAATTATCTGACTAACATCTAGCAGCTAAATGTGTCTGGAAAAATGTTCACAGGCTTTTATTCTCATAAACCGCACAGGCGTGAATGCGAGTGTTCTGATTGGCTAAAGGCACCTCACGGCAGCGCGTGATAGACGTGAATGTGCTCTTTCCGGCAATGTTCCTTCTGCGTTGAGACAGCGCAGCATCCCGGCAAATTACCGGTAATGTTACAGTGTTTCCTCTAGGATTTTTTCCAGATGTGGCGGCAGGCCTTTTTTACACAGATCTACTAACTACCTGTAACGTTATATCAATGACAAATGTTGTGAGGGCAGTATAGAAGTCGAGATCCTATTTATGTAATAGCCTACAGCATGCGGATCTCTTTACTTGCGCGCCGATTTCCTCTGCTCGTGCACAAAACTTCTTGCACGCCCCCTCTAATATAAGCCGCTTCAAGAGCACGTAGATCTTCTTGTGCACTCTCAAATAAATGCTGCTGAAGTGCAAAAAGTGAAAACAGTCAGTCAGTCAGCATGTAACCTTAAAGGGTTAAACAAATGACGCTTAGCACTACTATGGTTACAGAAAAGTTTGCGCTGTTATAATTCACCTACCTTGTAATACAATTTGGTGTGACTATGACGTCTATCAGACATTGGATTTTGGTTGCCGTACCTGACATAAATGTCAGTGTTTGACGTTAATATGACGTTGGTTTAAGATGTAAGCTAGATGTTGGATTTTGGTCACTTTCAAACACAACCTAAAAGCAAGCAAATATCAACGCCAGTTGATGGGGTTATTGGACGTCAAAATAACGTTGTCCTCAGACGCTGGCCAAAAATTGAATTTTGGTCGCCTCATGTCATGACTTAAATCTAACCTAACATTAACGACTTATGAAAATGTGTGCCAGCATAAGTTGTCTCCAAAAATATAATTGTGTTGTTTCACCAAAATTTAAAAAAGCAGTTTGAACAAGCAGTATGCAAAATAGGCAAAATCCGCGAAGTAGATAGCTTTATTTTTATTTTAAATCACCTCACTGCACACTTTATACACCTGTCTGAGACAGACATTATTATTTTCACACTTTTCTCTCTTGTTTAAACACTCTCAAAGTGTAAAACTCTCAAAAAAACTGAATAAAACGAAACCAAAGATCAAAACATGTGGTCATCGCTGTCCACAAAAGGTTCATAAAGCTTTTTAGCTTTTTGTGCGGATAATGTTGACATCCAGCGTTTTTTCCTACAGTCACTGATCCCCAAAGCTAAAGCAGACTACATCCATAAGGGGGTCACACACTGTATGCGCCAGCACATGAACGTTGGAAGTAAAACACACCTGGTGCCCACATTCGCATGTTATTTATAATGAAATTATTCAGATGGCTCTCTGTGGCGAGCAGAAATATGAGCAGTGTCCTGAGTCGTAGCTGGGCACCGTGGACAACCGCTGACTTGCGGCGCCAGTGTGTACCCAGAAACCTATGTTTACAATTCTAAAATACATGGCGCTGCATGGTGAGGCATTGCGCGCCGCACCTAGTGTGCGATCTCCTTTACAATGGTCTTGTTGTGGACAGTTACCACCCTTTTTGCATACTTGTTGAAACTTACACTGCTAGCCAGGGCCGGAGTGGGATCATAGTGAGGATCGAACTCAGATTGGCGGCATGATAACGCAACGTGCTAACCACTAGACCAAGATGGCGCTGGTAGGATGATGTGTTCTGGATGTAAAATAAGTATTGCACTGTTATCTGCTGCTATTGATGTCTACTCTATTTTCCCCTTTGTAGATTTCTGATCAAGTTATGTCAGATTTATTAATGTAGTAAATCATATGATTTTCATTGAGCAGGTGTATTATTCATTAATATTAATTAATATTCACTAAGTTGCTGCTGTTTGGGGTGTGAATGATAACTTAGTTACATCATTATTAACCTGCGGGCTGCATTTTGCTCACGGGGCTGCGAGAAAATAAATAAAAAGGTTGGGGCTGCGGCAAAATAATAAATAAAAATAGTGTGGCTATGGTCAAATAAATAAATAAATAAATAAGCAGCTAGGGACACCGGCCCTCGCGGCCAAAAAACGGACCGGCCCACTGGGAATTCTCCCGGTGCTCCCGATTAGCCAATCCGGGCCTGCTGCTAGCGATCGAAGATGTATGTTCATTTGGCAAGCTGAACGCATCCTGTACTGTACAGGAGACACGGAGAAGATTGATTGACAATGGTCTACAGCCAATCAGGATGCAGAACACAATGTGCTGTAAAAAAAGCATGTCAAATTGCACAAAAGAAAAATCTGTGAAGGCCACAAAAGGTGAACACTCAAAAACTTTTTTTTTTTTGTTGCTTGTTCAAACTACTTTAAAATGAGCTGAAACAACAGAATACTTAATTATTTTAAGTTCAATCTACCAAAATTTGTCAAATCTGTAAAGGTAACCTAATTGATTTGTGTTGGGACAATAATCAATTGTATGGAGCCCTGCATTTTTTACAGTGTAGCAATCCAAACATTTTTCACAGAAATGCACAGTCATTACATTTAGAATTAAAACATTCTTAGCAGACAATATCGACTCTGTCTCAGGAAAAATATCTGAAGCAAACACCGACAGATAATCCACCAAGGGAACGGCAGAGCCTATTTTCATA